TTCTCGCGCAAAGGGTCTAGCAGGGGTAGCGTCATCGTGTCGGGAAAGATAGGAAAAGTCACCTCTTCTCATGCGATGGCTTCGAACGGTATCCATCAACACTTGTTATACTTATTCAGTTTAAAGAAGTGATTCAGGAAGAGCACCCGCGCACGCACTTTTACAGAATTTTTTTATTACTGACCGCGCTCACTGGCTCTTTCAGTAAGTCAAGTTACCGCCCGTTTAGAACAACTGTGTTCAAGAAAGGAGAGCATGGCGTTGGATTCGTCTATTGATAGAAATGTTCCAAATTTTTATCAAAGAAAGGTCTGTAGAAAACAATTAATTTTGACTTTATTTAGATAGGCGTTTTTTTTTAAAGAAAATTTTATTCTATGTGAACTATTTATGTATTCGTTCTCACTTTCGCAACTGACAGTTTGCATCATGAATTTTGCATCAGTACCATACAAATTAAAGATTGACCTTGCCTCTCGTTTGATAGCTGCTGTTGGTCTGACTAAATTTCTATAGCTTTTGGATTACTTTTACGGAACTTTACTGTAAGTAGAACTTTTTATTTCTGACTGTCAGCTGGGTGGCAAGTTTGTAGTAGCGACTGCTTTTGTCAATCATGGTATGTGCTGGAAACCTCAAGGTACTCGTTGCGGAGCATTTATTTATGATTCAGGAGAAACAAACCTTCAATATTTCTAAAACGGATGCTTAATGTGAGCCAAATTTTTGCTACAAATCTTATCCAGTAAGCGAGTCATATATTGCCGAAAACTTGAGGGGGAAGTAAACTGGTGGTTGCACTGTCTCTTAGAATTTTTAACACCAGTAGCAAAAAATATTTTTTCGTTTGAAATGTCGGGTGCGCATGATACAGTGCACCAGGCAATTATTTGAACAAATTTTTTAATGCTTTACTAATTAATTTATTGTTCTTTACAATTCAACGCCGATTTATATCATAAAAGTTCCTGTATTTAAAAAAAAAGGGTCTCTTCTTCAAATATCAGTACAGTTCTTCAGGTACATCATGTACCTGGAAGCAGATTCGTGCGTTTACAATTTTTAAATTAGCGATCTGTTGCTATAATACTTTTGAAAGGTAAATGTCTAGGAGGTGGTGATGCTGGTTTGCCGCTTAGATTTTTTATCATGTCAAAGCTGC